TGAAGAGGGACAGGAGAGGAAGCAGCCGACGTACAACAGGCATCTCGCTACCGAATGAACAGATTTCTCTCTCGTCGTTACTAGAAATTTTAGATCTAGAGAGGGCACAAGTAATTATGACTTGAGTATAAGGCTATGCCATTAAAACACATATTATGGTATGCTGGTGACCGGAGTTCCAAAACAAGAAAAAACCCAAAGCCTCAAAAGACAAAAAGGACAATAGGCAAAGTGACAAAATTCTGCTTAATATTAAAGAAGCACCTTCATTCAGTTCCAAGAGTTCAAATATTTGATTTTGCCAAGCACTCTCAGGAAAAGGTAACGCAATCTCCCACTCAACCTTTCACAAAGCTGCATTAAGCACATCGCAGGCTTCAGCGCAACGTCACCAGTAAGGCCAGTAACGCGATGCCCCCAGCCCTACACCCCTGCACCCAGCAACGCGACGCGTTCCCCAACTGCAGCTGCTGTCAGAAAACAGCAATAATTCCTCAACACCGCTCGAGTCACGGACCTTCCCCAGCAGGACGGGGGAAGACGTTGGCAGGACACCACTGGTACCCGCTGCCAGGGACCGGTTCTGCCCTTAACACACACGTGAGGCTGCGAGCGGCTTCACGGGGGCTTCTGGGCCAGATGCTGGGCAGAGCAAGCAAAGCGAAGGACCCCGATGAACCGGCAGCTTAACAGAAGCTCTTCATTCCAGAGTCTCTAGAAGAGCCTTTTGTCTCGCTGACAACAATCAGAAGTGGCTTCAGACGAGTGGGATTTTTTTATTTTTATTTTTTAAATCGAACAGGGGCAGCAAATTCAAGGCAGCTCTGCAAGGCACTTCAGGTGGAACGGTACCAACCTCCTGCCTGGCGAGACGAAGCAGAAAAGCCTGCTGGCCTTGCTGCCCAGTTCAACAAAGGCAATTTCCCCACACGACTTCCATTCAGCCACTTCCACCAGCATAAGGCCTTACTAAAAAACCAGAAGGCTCAACAGCTTCCACCTCCCCAGCAGAAGGGGAAGAGGGTGACCTCGTACTAAGGTAACGGCTGCATAGTGGGTTACTGGTTTCACTGGGTTTAATATGCTGTCAAGGGGTCATCATGCAACTTTTAACTCTACAAAAGTTCCACCTCTTGCTTAATGGACGAACACAGACAAACGAACATGGACAGTGTCCTCACAAACCACCAGGCCACCGTGTCTTTTGAGAGATACAGCAAGTTTCTATTTTGGGTAGAGAACGTGTAAAAGAAGTTTTGTTTGATGTAAAGGCTACCTTGCATAATTACTCAAAAATAGCCCATCCAGCCACTCAGCTAAGCCATCATCAAAGCCACCAGTTATCACAAAAAGCACCTTCATATGAAAAACTGCTCACCCCTACGAAACTCAGTCTGAGTTTGAAATGTATTAGGACTAACTTTACCATGTAGCTGATTCTGTCCACGCTGGTGATCCACTGTTTGCAAACAATCAAGTATTGTTCCCATCAGTATTTTACATTAGTGTAATGGATTTATCCACATCATTGCTCTCCCACCACCCCCCCAACCAAAAAAAAAATAATAAAATCCTACAACTGCTCAAAAGAGGAAAAAACTCCAACTAACAGCCATACTGTGAAACAAAAACACTATTTAAAAAACAAATGGATGACAGTCCAACGGTTTGCGGGATTCAAAACTGGTTCTACAAAGTAGTTGTCTACATTGTAGAAAGGATTTCCTTTTATTTGGAAAATGAGCAATTGTAAATCAGGTATTGGAGAGAAGAGATATAAACAATCTTTAGACGGTCTTAAGTTTTGCCACTGTTAGAGGATTAAAACCGCAAATAAAAAGGTACCAAGCCCTCAGAGTTCACCATTCATGTGAAGCTTCTTCCATCTCTTTCTTGACCTTTTTAAAAACCATATTCATTTCTGGGAAAGGAAGGGAAAAGAAAATAAAAGTTATTTAGGAAAAAAAAACAGCAGTTGTTTCTTATTCTGACATGATATGGAAGTGCTCAATTTTGGCTCAAGAAAGACTTTAACTCAACCCCAAGTCTCAAACCTTGCTTAGAAACTCAGCCGTAGAAGATGAGGTTGTGTATAAACTTGGAGAAGGTCTCTGGACTAAATGGATCGAACACACACACAGTTACCAAGCGAAAAAGGGAAAATAGCATTTCTGAGGTCTTTAAAAACACAGGGAAAAGAACACAAAAGGCTTTAGAGCCTAAAAGAAGTTAATGACTAAAGACACCTTAAATTCAAAGGCAGTCCCTGCCTCTACTCACAGCCCACTAACCGAAGTATCAGATAAACTTATTAGCTAATAACCAATATATATATATATATATTTGGTTGCCTGATTGCAAGAACCAAATTATACCAGATATTTAAAACATAACAGAGAGAATCTACAGATTCATCTCAGCAAAAGCAAGGTTTTAGCTTATGACAACAACACTACACTGACTGCTCACACCACGCAGGCACAGCAGTAACCTTGAGGCTGAGCATGAGATTAAGTGTTCTTTGAATCCCTTTAGATGCACACAAACCCTGAGCACTGACCGGGAGCACAGACCATTTATAAAAGACACGGGAAGATCAGACTGTAGTTGCTACTCATCTTTTGCTAGCACGCAGAATTTCGGTCTCCTGAATAACAAAGACTTCCAACTTAGGTCGCAGGGCATGAGAACAAAGGCCAAACTACCAAGCTGATACTCCACGTTCTTTCAAAAGGGTAGACTAGATGCAACTCTATCAAAATCAGCCTCTGGAATTCAAACATGCTAAGGGGGCCAGATTACCTGCATTTTGGGTTCTCCCCATAGTTTGGTTTTGTGTGTACTTTCTCCAAACCCCGCAACTCCAGGCTGAATGTACACACTCACTCCTGAGCATACACACCTGCCCTTGCATGGAAGTCTCTGTACATCTTCTCATCTGAAACTCTTCTGCTGTTGCATCAGCCCCACATTTTCATATACTCTAGCACTATCTTCTCTCATTCTGAAATGAAACAAATATTTGCAGTTCAAAGAATCTAGTTTGAGAAAACTGTATTTGCACACACAATATACTTGAGTGAAAATTTATTTTGTTCAATTTAGTTTAAGAGCAAAGCACAGGGCAACAGTCTAGGGCAGATTCCGTGGTAACTCATTCTCACTCGAGGTCCCTGAAGATTAGTTAGTACGGTTCAAAACTTACACACCAACAACAGAAGCAAACTTACTCTGGACACGTTGGGGTTGGGGTACAGGGTGGAAGAGGGCTCTGATCCCCACTTGTCTGGTCCGATAAAGAATATTTAATGTTTGTGTATTCGTGACCTTTTCTCTTACTCTTCTGTGAAGCGAAACACAACAAAAAGCCAAGTTTTGAATTACTAACAGAAAACAATCATTGAAGGAGTGCAGAAATTACACATGTAACTAACCATGTATGTTGTTTGTCTAGGAGAAGAGAGCTCAGTTCTGTAGATAACACACACAACACGGATAACCTAAAAGGCTGGCTTTAGCTATTGGCTACCAGACCTGAAAAGCCTCACTTTTCGATATTCCCCTTTCCACCACCATCTCCAGCAGAACATGCCAACCTTATGAACCAGCACTCGTACACAATCTTCATCTTACTTGGCAGAAGAAACCACACTTCATTCTTTAACAGACAGTACCAGCCAGTGGGCTTCCCACTGACCTTATTTCCAGCTTGGAGATGTGGCCAAATGAGTAACAATGTTGTTTGCAAGATCTCTAATAAAATAACATCTTACCCCATTAGGTTTGATATAAAAAGAACCCAAGCTGTTATTTGTATTCTGCAGCATATGTTACAAGCTGCAGCCAATTGTGCTGGCATTCATCTAAAGATACTGAAGGCTCCAGCAAGCAAAGCTACACTAGAAAAGAAAGGAGGTATGGCTTGCTTCATGTTCAGGACAAACATTCCCAACACATGCATACACTGAAATCTACATATAAATTAAAGCCTCACTTCAAAATTTCACAGGGTACTGGTTTTTTGGAGGTGGTTTTTTTTGGTTGGTTGTTTTTTCATCTGTGGTTGTTGGGGTTTTTTTTAATTCTTGACAAAGTACTAAATAACTGGCCTGAATCAATCTCACAGCAGAGGTTGACAGAGCCTCTGGGGAGTCCTGGCTGCTGAGTTTCCATTAAGAACGCTCTGTATAGCAACGTACGTTGAAGTTTTTCCAAGATGGCCTTCCGAGACTTGCTCAAAACTTGCTCAACTTGTTCTGTTATTTTATGGAACTTCTCCTACTTACTCATAGAATCATAGAATGGTTTGGGTTGGAAGGGACCTTAAAGACTATCCAGTTCCAAGCCCCCTGCCATGGGCAGGGACTCCCTCCACTACACCAGGTTGCTCAAAGCCCCATCCAACCTGGCCTTGAACACTTCCAGGGATGGGGCAGCCACAGCTTCTCTGGGCAACCTGTGCCAGTGCCTCACCACCCACAATGTAAAAAATATCTTCCTTAGATCTAATCTAAATACTCCTGACAAATCACTTTCAAATAGACCACCAGTCCAGATCAATTACTTGGAAAGTTGAAGCTAAAAGATTAGATTTAAATAAAAGACAAAGGTTCAAACTCTGCTGCATTCTACAGTGTTACAGGTACAAACCCCTCACCTGCCAATAACATTCTGAAGCCCAAAATTAGAGCTTGATTCCCACCACTCCCACCCCCAAAACTGTGTGATGAATGGCAGTTCAAGTTACAGATGTACCGTACAGTAAAAGCAATTTAAAAAGAATCAGTCAGTTCTTCTGTTTCTTAAGCTGACTGAAACAGATAAAACAAGCCAAGAAGTAGACACCTGGCTCCACTTCCTTCCGCTTAATTCACTGTAATTATCCTTTCTAATTCAGAACCACAGAAACGTGGGAAGAACTATTTGTTTCCTAGGTGTAAGAGAATAAGTATAGTTCCACAGGGAAAAAAAAAGAAACAACAAAAACCCACAAACGCTACAACCAATTCAGTTTGCTTTTCTTCTACGCGTGTGAAGACGACGGGCGACATTTAACACACCACTTAACTCGACGAAACCTTGAGGCTCTCAGCACTGCAACGCAAGATGGAATGCTGGCAGAGCGGGGGAATTTCTTCTACAAACAAAAAGCAGCCATGGCTATGTGAACAGGTGCAGCTGTTCACATAAAACCTGGGCTGAAGGAGTGGCTCAGTGACAGGGGGCTAGCTAACGTGACTACCTAATTGCTTATCAGAGCCGGCGTGCGTCCATCCAGACCGAAAAGCAGCCAGCGAGCACGGCCTCGTATTCTTGCCTAGAAAGGTGTCCTAATAGACTTCACCAGGTTTTTTCAAACTTTCGCTGTTTGCAACTGCAATCAAAGCAAGCATAGAGAAAAAGGTTCCGGAAGTTAAAGTTTCATAAAACACAGCGTTTCATTCCCAAACCATCTTTTTGGAGTGCAATTCAGGCATAGTGTTCTACTACCCAGCCAATTTTTTTCCTGCTCTGTCAGAACACGCTTTGGAGGATTCACAATTCAAGATGTTTTTTTCAGGACAGTAGTTCCTATAGTCACCACAAAGCTTTGCTTTTGTCTGAGAAGTTCTGTATTGTTTTATTTCTATAGCTGCCACTAATCCTAGCTATAGGTCAAGACCTCCTGAGGTAAATCAATGCTCTATTTCCAGTTTCTTAAACTTTTATACTTGTGCCTTCTGAGCTAGTAATGGAATGGAGGATGAAACACAATTAACTGAGCCTCATCACTCTAGAAGAAATACGCTGCTCCACTCAACATCAAAACATTATTCAAAACCCGTTACAACGATCAAGAGAGTTGCAGATGTACTTTGTAAGTGGCAGCAGCAGAAAGAGACCACATTCAAAAAGCTGAGGATGCAAGGCTTGCATAAATACCCACACAGAGAGATGAGGCAGCTCTAAGGTGAAGTGAGACAACAAAGCCAGGGGAAAAAAAAGTACACCTGAGGGATTTCTTGTTCTTCACTTTCTGTCTAATCACCATCAGAGCACACGGCAGCTGTCCTGGGGAGAGGAATAAAGTCTCTATCCTCTCTGCTGAACTGTGCAGCTACATCATGTAGACAAATATAAAATTTGTCTATAAAAGCTCTGCCACACTCCAAAGCAGCCAGAAGCCAGACAAAAGTGCCAAGCTCGAGCTGGCACACTCCATCTCTGAACAGGGATTACAGCTCACACCTGGCACTGCGCTAACCACGCAGCTTCCCACATCTGCCTGATCAGTTGTGTGGGTTTATCTCCTCCTGAGCAGCAAGCCAGCTGCAGAAGGGAATATACTGAAATTCTGAAACAAAAAGATAAAAATCCTACATGACCAGAGGTTAGAGAATGAAAGCAACAGTGGGTAGCACGTCAGTTCTTTGTTACAAAACGAGGTAACTTCTGTAAAAGACCATAGAATTTGAGTGCAATGAAGTACTTAGAAAGAACGAGGTGAAGGTCTTGTGGTTGTCACCAAACATTTCAAAACTTTTCTCATCTTACCACACCAAATCACTCCTCTAACTGCTTTTTGTTGGACACCGTACTGCATGATCACCACATTCATTCTTTAATCTTTCAGTCCAATATACTTACCTCTTACTAATAAACATGTAATTTAAGACTCAAAAATACGTATTAGAGCTACTAATTTGATTATCGTACTTTAGAAATACAGTTAACAGACTGGAAGCCTCTTTAAATGGCAACAGAACACGAGGTTCTGTACTAATTAACAGAGCCTTATCTTTTACTCTCCTTGCACAGAAAACTAGACAATATAAAAGGAAATTTGAGATCTGGGGTGCAGGGAGTCGGGGACAGGATGCCATACGTGCAAGCGTTTTCTTGGAAGGTAAAGCAGCACTATCTGCAGTCATATGGAGAATCCTCTCAGACTGATGTCCTCTGTAAGTGGCCAAACACACCGTTTTTATTTTACAGTCTTCTAATCCCACCTAATAGTTTCAGTCATTCTTAAGCACAATGAAATACAGGCCAGCTTCTTTGAACAGGGTTAACAGGTTACAGACCCAGCCTTTTCACGACGCATTGGTTATACCATCAGCAGTCAGGCCTCCAACAGCAACAGGCAGCAAACATGCAACTCTGCTCCCTGTTCCCATGATAACACGTTCCTATGTAAGATTTTACACTCTGGGACAAATATACCTGCTCCTCTTCAATTCTGCGCTGTAGCGTTTCGATGTAGTGCTGTACTGCCATGTAAATAAATCTGTACTGTGCTTCTGTCTGAACCATTCCTGACCGTTGTGATCTCACCATCTGAATGGTCTTTGGAACATCGATATCACAGTCCACACCTAGGAAGAATCGTCGCAAGGTTAAGAACAGTGAAATAAACTTTGTCTTTGCCGAAGAGATTGGTCTCATCTTCCAGAAGAACACGGCGTAATTGAAGGATCTTGCAATAGAAGATTGCTAACGTTAACAGAGGATTCGTCCTTGACTACTAATGCACAGGGCTGTAGAGCTGCAACATAACGTTAGGGGAGAAAACTGCATCACTTCACACTCTTCCAAGATGACTTAAAATGCAACCTAGCTCAACAGACATGTCCAGTTAGTCTTTATGGCAGTTTATACATAAATACAACATCGTCCTCGGAGAATGAGTTACTCAAATTCAGCGTGCACGACTACACTGACAGCCACCCGTTCACAAATGATTTTAAAAGCAACATAGAAAAATAAATAATATCAACGATAGTAAGGAAAACATAACCAGGCCCCTGGCTAATCCTCAGCTGAAAGTTTTCATGATGCTGAACGGGAGCAGGGTTTCAGCACTTCAATTCCAGCTAAGTCAAGAGGAATGAGCAAGTCTCTTCTATGTCAAACACACACATCTAGTTTGCAGCACCACTAGAATCCTCTATTCTATCAACACTCCTGTTGTTTTACTGGGGTGTATCTGTCAATGTCCCACAGGAAAATAAAAGTGTCGGGGGGAACCTACCTTTTTCTCTGATTATGTCAATAAGAATATCAATCACAATGAAAGTTCCTGTTCGCCCAATCCCAGCACTGTAAGAAGAGAAAGGGAAAAAGGAGTTAATTGTTTTGCTCTTTCTGAAGAGACATCAAAACATCAGTCCAAGTAAGAGTCTAACATGAAGAGACATCAGATTTCCAAATTATAGTCAGAGTCAAACCAAGCCACGCAGACAAAACTAGAGACCTAATCAACTTAACATGGAAGCAACAGAAGTCATAAAACTTTTCCTACCTCAGTGTTTATAACAATCACTGTTCTTGAATCAGAAAAAAAACCTACAAGGTCAGATCTAACGTTTCCTTGCCTTTTAAGTATGTCATTTATAAGCCAAGACTGAGGAGAGAGCACTCACAAGAGGTGGGATGAGACACTAGAATCTCCATGATCCTGCACCTGAAATGCATCTAGTCAAGACTGGAACCACCTTCTCATACAACATCAGAAATTCTTATTCAGACAGTCACGCACACTCTGAAAGACAGCCTGCTTCGAAGGTGACCATCTGACACCTATCTAGAACATATTGTTTTGCAAAACAAAAAGCACAAACACCTTGACAGATGAAAGTCCGAGTAGCTCTCAGGGAAAGCTGTCGTCTTTTAAAGTTTCTGGTATTCCCCACAAAAAAAAAAAAAAAAAAAAATTTCCAACATAACTCCATAACTCCAAGGCACAGAGAGCAGCAGCCAGAAAGGCACAGTGCATCACCATACCTGCAGTGGACCACAACTGGTCCCGCATCAGCAATGTTCTCCTGCTTATGGTGCACCTCCTCTAGAAAGTCTAGTACACCACCAGGGTCACTTGGGACGCCATGATCAGGCCAAGTTCTGAAGTGATATTGCCAGACTGTTCTCTCTGTGTTCCCCTGGAAGGAAGATGCCAACACATGAAAACAAAATCTTTCAGATCAAAATCTAGCTAGAAGTATTTATGTGTCAAAGTTGAGTCAGATCGGAAGGCGGCATATCCAACCTGCTGCTCTGCACCCACACACCACAAGTCTCTTAAAGAAGGGAACAAGCCAGACCCTGGCCTGACAAGTCAATTGTATCACCTGCTTCCTCGCCTCCCTCTTTCTCATGCAGTTGTTTCCAATATTTCCATCCTTGCCTTTAGAAGGCATGGCGAAGTTCTGCCTGAGGGTGACCAACAGCAAGGGACCTTCATCTGTCATACTCTTCCTTCATACCCAGTGGCACTTACCTTACACACTTCTTCCCACTCAGTTCCATTCCATGGACATACCCAATCTAGCACATTCTGCTTATTTGCTTCTTACACAATGCATTTTGTACCTTGAGCCAAGTTGTCCCTTAACAAGGAAGTGCTATTTCCACGTTAGTTCACTGTTTCCTTCCACATCTTTTGCATTCCTTAAGTGTTCTTTCTACATACTGGACCCACACACAACCATTTTCTTCTACTGCAACCACCTCCATGAAAGGGAGCAAATGCCCAGCTAGACTGAACTGTGATTACTTAAAAGCATCGTCCCTCTCTCCAGATTTCCTCAAAGCTCTGCAGCCGTGCATCTTGTGCCAAAAAGCTCTTAGGTATAAGAATCTGCAATTATCCCAAGGACAAAGAGAAAGATGTGTGGAACTAAAGCTGGAGCTTCACAGAAAGAGACAGGGCCCAATTTATTAATCTCTTAGTGCTTTTATTGATTCCAAAGAAACAGTCTATTTCTGTGGGTGTGTGGTTTTTTTTGTGATCTGCAACTCAAATTAAAAGGACGGAGTTACTAAAATACTTACTTGCCCAACTTTAGACAGCTTAAGTTCTCTTAGTGTGTAATCGTGTGCTGCACTCTCCTTAACATTCCTAACACGCATAACACCATACTCCTTTAGGGAATATTCATCAGGCCAGTATTTGACGCACTTACTCTGCAAGATTTGGAAAAAAAAAAAAAAAAGAAAGAAAAAAAGGAGTAATCAGCAAGAAGAAAGGCTGGTTTGTAAACTGGTTAACACATTTCTGAAACTTTCATTCCTGAATACATAGAAGACAACTACTAGTGCCAGCTGGACAGCTAGCTGCCAAGGTAAAATACATTTTAGGGGCAAGTTTCTCTTCCCCAGAACAAACATCAGATGATTTCAGACAATAGGTACAGGCAATCTCTCCTTTTAGCAGTTTTCATGATCATCTTAGTACCTGCTTTGTATTGATAATTGCAAAACCCGGAGATTAAAATACTGTTCTTTGTATGTCCACCCAACTATGGGTTTCAAAACACTGAGAATTTCCAGTGGAATGCTGTGGCCCTACGTGTTATTCCACAATCAAAACCCAACAGGCTGCAAAATAAATGCAAGTCAAAGGTATAAGCCATTTTTCGCAGAAATGAAACTTAGCTGCTTGCTTTTTCATCGCTTAGAGCAGAAAGGGCCAACACAGCTCTCCAATTCAATCACCAAAGGAACAAAGATTGCTCCCTGTGGCAGGGGACTAAAGTCTCATGTGTCTGTAGCTTGTGAAATTTAGAGCTTTTGGCATGCTGCTCTCCTCTCATCTTTGGCCAGGGATATATTCTGTCCACTGAAGAACGGGTTCACCTATTACTGCTTTGATTTCTGTGGTTTTGGTTCCTGTGACACTTCAGGCAAGAATGGCCCCTGTTAGCCTGTGAACACAACACAAGCCCACCCAGCATCAAATGAGAATTTGCAGTGGGTATAGAGATGCAGCTTCCAGCAACAGAAAATGCAGACCAAACAGGGAGTACTACAGAGAAACATCAGCTGTTTGCAGTTACTACTGCATGTTTATGAGAGAACATGGCAGCAAGAAAGTTCCTCCTGCCAACCCAAGATCCAGTACGAGATGACCGAACACGCTTTCCAGCCTACTTAGGCAACAAGATGCTTTTTTGCTACTTTTGCCCTTCTTTCTCTGCCTTCTCCAAAAGGGTACAAGCTAAAGAAAAGACCTTGACCTTAGCATATGCCAGCAGAACTTGCAGTTTCAACACAGAACTCTGAGCACAAGAGCAGTTGGTACAGCAAGTCTGAACAGTAACACACAACATTAAAACAAGCTTTAGTCTGACAGAGGGGATACATGTATTACAGGCTCAATGGACTGCCTCCAAAACACCACTGTTTTAACCTGTAACTATTTGCTGCTTCTCCAGCACATTCTAAAGCACATTCAGAACTCTATGCAGATCTGAAATGTTCCATCGTTCCTCATTTCCTTAAGCAATGTGCTCTTCAAGTCATCTCTGATGCAGAGGTTTCTCTTCTTGCTGCAGATTTGAAAGCATCTTGGCCTGAGATAAAAAAGCTTTTCTATCAGACCTTTATTTGCAATTCTTGAAGAAGTGAAACAGAATGGGGGGGGGAGAAATAAATCAATGCATGCAGCACTGATTAAGTAATTGGACATCAAAATGTTTTATAGAGCCAGAGCACAGAAAACAGGCTTAGCAAAATTCAGAAAGAGTCACAGAGAAACTGCAGAGGAGCACAGGCCACTCAGTAGGTTATCAGCAAATTGAAAAAGAGGTGTATTCAAGTCAAATCTTTCAAAACAACACTGTAATTTATTTCTCTCCTTCCAAGAGAAAGATCTAAGAGGAAGGTCATTGGAAAGGGGCAGCTTCTCTCTCCTTCAGCGCATTCTCAGGAAGGACACAAATCATGTCCCTTTAGAAGGGTGATGAACGGGCAGAAGTTTACAAAGCCTAACAAAAAAATCCACAAGACAGAGTCTAATGGTTTCTACAAACACCACTCAATGCCAGCTTTGATACCCAGATTAGGAAGAGAAGCCCATAAAAGCTATTACTATTTGTCTTCTGTACATACACACAAATCCTCTTTTTTTGTGGCAGTGGTAAGGAACTCTGCAATTATCACCCCTAGAAAAACATTAGCTATACTTTCAATTTGATGTTTTTCAAAAGTGATGCTCATCTAACAACATAACAGCTTTCCATTCAGAAACAGACCATTAGATTATTGAAAAAGGTGGACAACGGCATGCAGAAAAAGCAGAGAAACTTAAAAGAAAAAACAACAAAAAAAACAACAGATATTGTTTACAAAACAGAAAAAAGATCAGAAGCGACACATTCCAAAGATAAAACTATACAATACTCAGGAAGTGGAACGTGACCGTGGCCAGAGCATCAGCATTCAAGTATTTCCTATTCTTTCCTGCCGTGCGTCACTAGAACCCAGAAACAAAGTAATAGCCTCGGTTTGCCAGAAGACAGTGACTAAGACAAGACCTCTGTACTTTAAAGGTAAAATGGGGGTTCTTGGGACACACCAATGCAGGAAAAATTTCCTCTTTCAGAGCATTAAACGCTGCCGGAGCGGTTCCCAAGAGGCCCGCAGACTCCCAGGGCTGAACTGGCAGCTGTGCTCACGCAGAACTGGGCAGTCAAGGCAAAGAACCTGCCTTTAGGGACAGAAGTGCAAAATCAGAGCTGGTTGAGGGATTCCTAACCAGGCACAGTTGCAGTCCCAATCCCTGGCTCAGCACACAAGGATGTTCTCAAATTCGAGCACGGGAAGTAAAGCCGGAGCAGAGAACAGCGTTCTAGTAGTCCAGGAAGCGTGACTTCAGTGAGGTGAAGCTGGGGTAATAACTTCCACATGATATTGTGGGTTTTAGGTAAGAAGCAATATCATCTAAATTCCTTCTTGTAAAGTCCCACAATTCTGCTTTTCTAGTGAAGCCTGTGGAAGCTTGGTAAGCTAAAATAAACGGCAATACTTTTGTTGCAGGAACAGGGAGTTTACCCCTTCGATAACGCAGAATGCCTGTTTGGCTACATCTCGCATTCCAGTGCTTCATTCCCTGAATAATTTTAAAATACATAGATTCATATTCAGGAGCTAAAATTTAATCAGTCAACCCTTAAAAAAGGGAGGCCTGATGATATGACAGAAGTGTAACCCCCAGTTCCCACAGGTTCCAATAGAAAAGGACACTCAGCACCTTCCAGGTCTCCAAAGACAGTAGTGGCACACTGGATTTCAGAATATAAAATCAATATAACTGAGCCAGTTTAGTCCTTACTTGCATTCAAATGTCATGACCTTTCCTAAGGCCAGCCTAAGAGTCTGTTTTTACCTTTCCTCTTTCAACTTCTTTTGTTGTCATAACAATAACTCGAGAATTCTCCTGGAACACCATCCTCCAGAAATCATTCACTGTATTCTGCAGGCAACCTTGAGTAGCAATGTAGCTTTTTTTTGGCTTTGAGTTGTTGCACTTGGTTTCAAACTCAGGCTAGAGAAAAAAAACAATTTAACAAATGGTGACAACATGTTAGAGAGTAGACATGGGTTGTGCCAACAAGATTCCTGTAGGTAGGAGCACACTTACCATAATAATATTAGCATTGATATAGTCTGAAACAGGTTCATTTGGATCACCATCATGTAGAACAACTCTGGTATGATCAACTGCAAGAATATATATGCATGTTAAGTGCTTGCATCCTACAGTAGTGAACACACAGCTAGCTTTACATATCCCACAGGCAGGTATGTTTCTTACTGCTACCAGAAGCTATTAAGTTATCAAACTCAGTAAATTAGGGGCTAGAATATTCCACCTTTCCTCTTTTGCCATTTCTTATAACAAGTCACCAATTCATAACGAGCTACATCAAAATAAGTGTTCGTGCCCCCTGGTAACTCATGTGTACACGGACCATCAAGGCAAACAGCCACTGGATTTGCACCGTGCAGTTCTGGGCTGCAAATTAATCCTCTTAAATTTAAGCACTCCATTTTGCTGAATAACGGTTTAGGGATGTGACGCTTTTAAATGAAAGCTGAAGATAAAACCAATATTTGGGAATCGAAATATCGGCATCTACAAAGTGCAAATATTTGAACACAAATTGGAAATTGCACAGGCTAATACTGACAACATGAGAGGGGCAATTATCACTAAAGCACAGTGGTGATTAATTAACCCTGTATTTACAAGCTAAGAAAAGAAAGCATAGAAAAGCAGCAGGCTTACATTATAATGAGAGAGATCAATACTTACAGGGTAAAATGTTTTTGTATCTATTTTTGTTTTTGTTTTCTTGACGCTGACCTTCTTTACGACTATAGAGAAGTTTGCATTCTTGCTGCTGCAAAGTCTAAATGGAAACAGCAGAAATAACTGGTTTTAATAAAAGCAGTATGGACTGTTTCACCATCGTTAGAGTGATCCTTTCTCACAAAAATTATTGTACTTGATTATAACGCCAGATAGTCAGAGAAAGAGAGAGGGGTACTGGATTTCTCCATTGCTTCTGAGGTATATAAGACACACAGAAGCATGAGTGAGAAGGCAAGCTATTTTCCACCTGCTAATCACAAACACCTATGATTAAACCCCAAACTGTCACCAGCAAGTCCTCATGATACTGTTCTGACCAAGCACACACAAGCTAATCCCTTCAAGCTTTTAGCTGTGAAACACTGTGCAAGGAAAACGTAACTGCTTAGAGAGGACCCCAAGAAAAGTTTGGCTGTGGACGTCTGGCCATCTTAAAAGGCACCCTAAATAAACCAAACACAAGCAGCATTCTTCAGAGCAGGTTCAAATAAGCTTATTTATCAGTAGGTCTTTCCCACCAAGCACAAAAGTCAGGAGTACTATTGCATTTCTCCTTTTTTGCTGAAGGAGGCAAGTAAGGAGCTAAAAAATTTCCACTGAACAGGCATTAGCTTTAGTACCAACAAAAATTAGTAATTAAATCATTCAAAACATTGTCAGGCTGCAAAGGAGCAAGGCATTCTGTGAAGCAGTGCTTCTCCACCCGAGCTGTTCTGGATTCCTCCAGGCCTTACCAGCCGCCTTCTGCTCCACCAGCCACCGCGAGTCTGCAGCAACGCTGCTGGAGAGCCCCCAGGACAGGTCCTGGGGAGCAGGGAGGCTGTTACAGCAGCACGAAAGTGGATCCCTGCAAGCTGCAGCCAGACCAACTCTAGACAGCCAGAGGAGGAAGGAGCATACAGAACACCCAGAGCAGCACGTTGACACAAGGAGCTGCATTTAAATACCAAGCACAGTGAAAAGTCCTTCAGCAGTCAGAAGAAGAACATTAAGAAGACATTCTTGTCTATTCCCCCAAAAGGCCACGGGGGAATGCTACAGTATTTTCAAAGATAAAATGCCAATGTACAACCCACCAATGAGTGCTCTCACTATTCTCTCGAACCAACACAAGACCATTTCACCAAACCAGTACAAAATTTTGCGCAGACTTTCTCACATTCTTTCTCCCTGTTGAGAGAGGGTGGGCATTAGGTAACTACAAACAGGGTTATCCATAAATCATCCCTGTGTAGAAACAATAAATCTGCATGGGGATTTCTCCTGTCAGCAAGGAGCTCATCTTTCCGTGCCTGGTTCACAATTAATACGACAGGGACAACAGCAATTCCACACTTCACAGCCACGCTGCTTAGTAGCCAACTTCCCTCCTTGCAGTGAAGCTGGAGGGACCAGAATCTCAATGCCTTTGTTCCAAGTTTTAATCCCAAAAGTAGTACCAGTCTGACTAAAAGGAACACTCAGGCTTTGGAAGCTGCTCCCCTTGTCATTACCACCCTTCATACTCTTGCAGAGATTGCTTTTACTTTAAAGCTTGGGCACATCAGGCATGTTTGCTCACTTCTGTTTCAGTCTCTGTTATTGCTATTGCCTCACTTAGTGACCTTGGACAATTAGGCTCATCCTAAAGACAGGGAAACCAACGAATAAAAGCATCACAGGAGAGCTGTGAGGTTTCACACTTAGGAAGCAAAGACAGAAAACATACCCCCATAAAGGATGGCTTGCTACGACCAGCGAAGGGTGATCCAGCACTTTGCAGTCAGCTCGCCTCTGGCCACACTGCAAGAGTCTTTCAAGTGCCATTATCCCAGAGCACCTTTGTGTAACGTGAAGGCTTTTGTGCCTCAGCCAAATAAAACGTCAAGCAAAAGAACTGAAAGCTAAACTTCACTAGCAGGTTAAAAAATGGAAACAATTAAGTGTGTGGAAACCATAGCTCCAAACACATCTTCACTTCATACAGTTAATTATTATTGCTTTGAGCATCCCTGAGGAGAGATCCACGAGCAGCAGCGACTGCTAACAAGCCCATTAAGAGATGTACAGAGTGAGACAATAAATCTGAAACTTAGTCCTCAATTTCACTACAACATCCGAGCATCAAGCTCACCAAACAGCCATTTTTCAGAAGGAAAAACATTACAAGCACTGTCAACACGTCTGTCTGGTGGTTCACAGGACAAGAGGTACATTCTTAAATACGCCTGAAGACAAGTAATTTATAACTACCATCTGGAGTGCCAAGTCGTAAACAGCACAGGCAGAGATTCATGGACAACCTGGAGTTTGCCCCCCTGCCACCAAGGCTGACAGCTAGAGCTTACCTGTGGCGAATGACAAAGCATGACACTAAAACCGCCACGAGATTGCTTCATTTCCAAAAACACAGCGGAAAAAAAATAAGGTTTAGCGCCGACCTCACTAACAGCACTGAAGGGGAAAGAGAAGTGCAATGTCTGACAGGTAAAATCTTTCGCTTCTTACATTTACTTTTTCTGTAAGACTTCTGGCTTGCTAGCAAATAGTCGTCTTCAGGGAAGTCGCAAGACAGGAAAACACTTTGCTTCTAAGGACCAACTGATAAATCCATTACAAGACAAATTTATTCAACAAAGACCAGAGGTCAGAAAAGAAACCCTAAGTGTCGAGTAATAGTTCAGTCATATTGTGACAAATCACCAATCCATTCCTAAATACACCACACAAGAGTGCTTCCCTCAAGAAAAAGAAAAAAAAACCAACATTAATTCACACGGCTTCTAGTAAGCCAGCACCAATTACAAGGGCAAGCCAAGGGGTACACTTTTTCCTTTTTATGCCCTCTGAATAAGAGTAAGGCATGCTGAGAGCCTCCAGGGAAGACAGCAGACACCCTTTGCTTGGCCAACTTGCAAATGTACGTTCAGGCTAAACCACACAGTGATCACATACACAAGCTACACGACTGTGTCGTGATATCTTCACGCACATCGCTAATCGAGTCTTTGGAAAAAACAGCTAATTCCCACATGCCAGTTTTAGCCATCGGAGCAGGTGTGGCCAATCTTCCCCACCCTTCAGGCCCCATATCAAAGTTCACATGTTGAACCCTGCAAGAGAAGCAATTCAAAGGTTGAGGCCACTTTACCTCCAGGCAAGGTTCACAAGCAATAGATGAGAACTGCTCCCCAGGGTACCCACCACTCTACTGTTAGGGTAAACCAGAGTCCCACGTCCTCAGCAATGGCCAGAGTAGCCTCTGCTGGCTTGTTTCCCCCTCCAGGCGGGATTCTGACCATTCAGCTGTCCTGGGTCAAGGACTACCCTCTCCCAGAAGG